AACATAAAAATAAATGCAATTCTTCAAAAAAATCCAAATAAGTGAAACATCTTCCTGCTGGTGTCATACAAGGAAGAAACAAGCGAGCGCATGGTAGAACATAAAGCAGCTGGCATAAAACGATGAACCCCTTGTAACGGAACCGGACCCCAGACCGTACTTGGGTATTTTCCGTTATACTGCAGCTTCCCTGTCCGAACACCATCCACGGACTACACCCACTGATCATGCAGGAAAGTAAGACAGCACCAAACTCTTCTATTTTTACACAAACACCTGATATATACACAGGACGGGGAAACACAACCAGGAACAGGAAACACATCATCAGCCCGCCCCATCAGTGGGAAGGGCTACAGGAAATACATCCGCCTGCCCCATCAGTGGGAAGGGCTACAGGAAACACGCCTCCCACCCAACCAAGACACAGAGCAATGGGATGCAGCACATGGCAAAGGACAATGGACAGCCACATGGCAGGGGACAAAGGACAACACGCCAATACACAATAGACATTCACATCCACACCCTGTACACCTTAGCAGGCACAGGGTGGTTAAACATAAGAATTTGGGCAGATGATACAAAAGTCACTCCCGTCACAACCCTATATCCTCGAATATAAATAAACTGTAAAATGCAGCGCTAGAATATGATAAAACGTAAGGCAATAAATGCATCAATGAATGAAGAAATAAATAAAGTGACAATAGTGACCAAAACAATGTATTCCACCTTAGGGAGAATGGCTTGCATAAACAAGCCTTTAAATATATGCCTTTTAAAGAAGCCTACTGCACTATGGTCTACTTTGTGGTTGTCATGTTTTTTTTTTTTTTTTTTTCAATTTTTGTCCTTTTTTATTGTCTTTTAGCAAACAATAAAAACCTCCGTGGTGATTAAATACCACCAAAAGAAAGCTCTAGTTGTGTACAAAATGCTAAAAAGTTAGTTTGGGTACAGCTCTGCATGGCCGCGCAATTGTCATTCAAAGTGTGATAGCGCTGAAAGCTGAAAATTGGCCTGGGCAGGAAGGGGGTAAAAGTGTTGAAGTGGTTAAAAAATCCTGCATGCCTTATCTTTGCTGTGGAACGTTTTTGGTGCGTTTTTTGAGTCACATGTCCAAGTGTCAAAGGTTCATGCTGGGAGACAGGAATCTAGAAAACACACCAAAAATGCATTGAAAACATTTAAACATGTAAAACATTTTGCTAAATGCATACCATGTTTTAAGCACACCAGCATGCTAAAAAGGTAGCTTGGGTACAGCGTTGCATGACCGCGCAATTGTCATTCAAAGTGTGAGAGCGCTGAAAGCTGAAAATTGGCCTGGGCAGGAAAGGGATAAAAGTGCCTCGTATTGAAGTGGTTAAAAGCTCCCTACAGGTCATCAGTTTAGTGTTATGGAGGAGGTCAGCACGTGGATATTAGCCTGAGCTCCTCTGTGTGCAGGTACATGTGCATGAGCATTAGGCCTCTTTCACACGAGTGTTCCGTATGTCTGATTTTTATCTGTCCATTTACGGATGAAAAACGGATGTCAACAGATGTAAACGGACCAAAAACGGCTGTAGACGGATGAAAACGGACCTAAACGGATGTAAAACGGATTTAAATGGATGTATACGGATAAAAAAACTGATGTAAACCAATGTAAACTGATGAAAAAATGGATGTAAATGAATGAAAAACAGATATAAACGAATGAAAACGGATGAAAAAATGGATGTAAACAATGAAAAAACAGATGTAAACTCATCCATTTTTTTCTTTGAAAAAATGTGACTGAACTGAAGAAAAAAAACGGAACGCCCGTGTGAAAGGACCTTAAGCAGGGGCGAACTGACAACTCATGTGCCCCCGGGCAATAGGGGATCATGGGGCCCCTGTGTCCTTGCCCAAACTCAAAAAAAGCCTATGATAAAGGTACCAGGGGCATTTCATGGGGCCCCCTTTTGACCCTGGGCCCTTGGGCAGTGCCCGAGTTTCCAAATGGTTAGTCCGCCCCTGACCCTAAGTGTTAGCTGTGAGAGTATTGACAGGGGGCTACCCAGACTGGATTCCTAGTGGCAAATTCCCAGAATGGATCTTTCGCATGGAAATTCTAGAAACAGGTCTCTCTTGGAAAGGACCTGGAATTATACTAAGAATGGATCTGTCAGAAGAATTTCCAAAAATGTATCTCTCACAGGAAAATACCCAGAAAAGATCTATTTCTGGAAATACTTCATATGGTTCTCACAAGACATACCCCAAAATTGATCTCCTACAGGAAATATTCAAAAAGAGTCTTTTTATTTTAACCTATGTTGTTGATTTGCCCATCTGGTGCCTCTAACTCTCTCATCTGTTTCATTTCAGGATGACATGCCTAGGTGGGATTAATAGAAACACATATAATGGGGAATACAAAAAGTAAAGACAAAGGTCAGGATCAAGTAGATGGCATACAACATCACCACCATCATGCCACCTTACAACAGACCAATTTACGGTCCCCATACCGACCCCTTACTGCTGATGCCAAGAAAAAGAAGAAGGCTACCCCACTCGTCCTGGATGGAGCCAAGGTTTGATGTATCATGATAAAAATACTAAGAATATCTCAGAAACCTAATTCTAACCTAAATATTATACTGTATGTATGAAGAGCTACGTATATTTAAAACCCAGCTCTAGCAATAAAAAAAAATTATTTCATTTTGCATGGGGCAAGAAAGGATTAGATCCTCTGCTTTTTTTTTTATTGGTGTCTGTGTCCCCACTGGTTAGATTTTGCCTTACTAGTAAGAAAAGATAAATCTCTGCAGTGAAGATATAGACAAAAGCACAGGCTTAGTAAGAGCAGGGAAGGGTTACAACTTCTGACCAGGGGCGGACCGACAACTCATGGGGCAATAGGGGATCATGGGCCCCTGTGTCCTTGCCCAAACTCAAAAAAGCCTATGACAAAGGTACCAGGGGCATCTCTTGAGGCCCCCTACTGACCCCGGGGGCAATAGGGGATCATGGGGCCCCTGTGTCCTTGCCCAAACTCCAAAAAGCCTGTGAAAAAGGTACCAGGGGCATCTCATGGGGCCCCGTACTGACCCCAGGCCCTGGGGCAGTGCCCAAGTTTCCAAATGGTCAGTCCGCCCCTGCTTCTGACAATGCTGTTATTGCTGCCTGAGTCTTCCTTCACCACAGCTTTAATTCTTGTACCAGTGTCACAGGGATAGGAGTTAAGAGTTAGGCTTTTTGGAAAAGCATGATGGGAGCTTCCAACCAAAGTGTCATCTGGCCATGAAGGTTCTAGAATGAAGCGTGTTGGCCATTATTTCATGGGTTTCTAGAGAGAAGGAGCAAACTCTTTATTGATAATAGCATAATCTAGTTGAACGATTCCCTCAGTGACATTATTTTACTCCAGTATATATATCAGAATCCGTTATTCTAGATTTCTTTTCCCAATGACATCTTCCAGTTTTCATTTGTTCTTCATTTTTGAAAAGTAAACCTCTTCAGGAAATGTCTTTTATTTTTTTAACCTCCTCTCTATTAATTATTTTCAGATTTTCTTTTGATTCTTCTCATTCTTCTGGTCATTCTTAGGTTTTTGGACTCCTCTGAAGACTCTGTACAAGTTTTTATCTCCTTTACCATGCTCCCTTGACTGACCTCCTTTCAATGCCTTCCTTTCTCCTCTATGATTATTCTTTGTGTTATTTTCTTTTGATGTTGTTTCTCCATCTCTTTGGGTTCCCAATTCTCTGTTCCTCCTTGAGATTGTTTGTCTCCTCATCCTTGGCCCTCTTTGAGATGGTGTGTCTTCTCCTCTCTTTCCCTCCTTGACAGAGCATGTCCTCTTACTCCCTTTTCCCCCTTTGAACTGGTGTGTCTTCAGTTCTATGGCCCTCCTCATACTAATATACTTGCCCTGCTATCTCTATCGAAATGTGTGTTGGCTCTTCACTATTTCCCCCTTTGAGCTTCTGTGTCTCCTTTTTCTGGTCCTTTTTACTTCTCCTCTAACTGTTGTTTCACTTTCCCTTTATTCCCCTAAAGATATTATATACCTTGTGCTCTGGCTTTCCTTGTTTTGGTGTGTTTCTAACTCTTTATCTCTTTTAGAGATGGTGTGTCTCCTCTCTATGGCCCTTCCCCCTCAAAATGGAGTTTTGTCTCATCTAAGGTTCCCCTTTGAACTTTTGTGTTTTCTTCTCTCTATCCCCCCTTGAGATGGTTTCCCCTTGTCTCCTTGAAATACTGTGCCCTCCTCTCTGTCCCTCTTAAAGATGGTGTTTCCTCTTCTCTGTCCCTTTTTGAGACAGCGTGTTTCTTTTATTTGCCCCCCACCCCAAAATGCTGTTTTCCCTTACTTTTAGGCCTCCCTTTGAACTTGTCTTGTCTCTTCTCTACAATTCTTTGAGGTAGTTTCCCATCATCTTTAGCCCTCCTTGAAAGGCTGAGCCCCCCTTTCTATCTCTGCAATGGTGTGTGATAACCTCTTTGTCTGACTTTGAATAGCTGGGTCTCCTTTGTCCCCACCCTCAAAATGATGTTTCCCTCCTCTTAGGTCCCCTTTTGAATTTGTGTGTTGTCTCCTCTCTTTATCTTTTCCCCCTTTAAACTTCTGCATCTCCTCCCCTTTGCACGCCCTTGAACCATTGTTTCCCTTTCCTTAACTTACCTCTGACTTCCAATCTTGTTTGCCATTTTCTCTTTGGGCTATTGTGTCTTCCCCTCTGTGGCCCTCCTTGAGCTGGTGTGTCATCTCCTTTGTGGTCCTTCTAAGCTGATGTGTATTCTACTGTATCATAACTTTCAAACTGGTGTATCTTCTCTATTTTGGCCTTCATGTTTCTCAAAGTCTCCTTTCTGGTCCTTCTTGATCTTCTTTGGCCCTCCCTCAAGTTTGTGTGTCTCCTCTGCTCTGTTCATTCTTAGTATGTCTTAATCTGTAAAGCCTTTGTTTCTTTTCTGACAATCAGAATGTTCTTTGGTCTCAAATTTGCTATCATTCTTTTATAGATTGGCGACCTTAATTCCTGGGTCTCAAAACATATTAAGAAAAAAGAGTGTGTTGTTTTCATCCCACAAGAATCTAGCAATGGGTAAGTACATCATCTGTAGCAGCGTTCTTTAGGTTTTTTGGAACATCTTGGCTGGATGGGATAAAACACATCAATCAGTGTGTTTAATTACAAAGAACAGGAGGCCTGTTCTGCAAAGCCTGCATCACTGCCTACTGTATTACCTGATCTACTATGCTATTTCACCAATGTATTGTCCCTTTAAATTCTTTTAACATCAAAGTCCTTCCAGTCCACACAACATTAATGTATTCCTTCTGCTGTGGTCTAAGCTGTCAGCACCTGTGGTAATGAGCTCTTGTGATACTCAACTTGGGGTTCCCCAGGGCGCAGAGTCTAAGCCCAAGCCTGCTTCTTCACCAGAGCCCCTGATGGTGGAGATGGACTTGCAGCAAGCTGGGACCAGGTCGCGGCCCCCAGGTACGCCCAAGGTCCCACTCGCAGGAGCAGAGTATAATGGGAGGAGACAAACGGAATCCGATAGGCAAGCCGAGGTCAGGACAGGCGGAAAACAAGCAAGGTCAAAGAACGAAGCCGGGTTTGGTACACAAGTAGTCTATGTAGTATTCAAACAGTAGTAACACACAGGAGTTATGACAACTAGGAAGTTTCTCAGGCAAAGTGGGCTAGATTGAGCATGTCTTATATAGACAAGCAAACTATGAGGCGGGCCAGGAAGTGATGGAAGGGAAGGAAATAAAACCCAGAGGATAGCAGATGACGCCCATAGGTGAGCACAGACAAACCACACATGTGAAAGGAACCAGGAGCAGCAAGGAGGTAAGAATAAACACACAAAAGGCTGCAGGCTAACTTGTGACATAAGCATCATGCCATAAATGTGTCTATAGGTTCCTATGCATTAATTGTTGTGTACGGTGGAATAGTGTCAAGGTCCTACCTTTCCTCAGAGCTTGTGCATCCCATGTGCTGGCGTCCATCTTGGGTTTCTGCAAAGCATGGTGGGAACCTTTATGCCTTCAGGCTTCTGCGGCTCCTCCTCAGAAGGGTGTGGTTCATCACATTTAAGCCTGCTGTCTGCAAGTGCTCTCTGCATTCGTGTCTTGTGTGTTAGTGTTGCTAAATCTCTGTTTATACTCTCGTGGCTCTCCTGGAAACTGACTCGGCTTTTGACTAGACCATTCTCTGCGTTTTCCATTTATCTGACCTCCCGTTGCTGAACCCGGCTCGTGACCTGTTATTCTTGTCTACCATTCTGTACCGTTTGTCCCGTTGTTATCGACCCGGCCTGCCCGACTACGCTATTGTCTGATCTGGTTCCTACCAGCTCCACGCCATTGGCGGCGGCCATTACCGCAGCTGGGGTGTCTCGGGGGCTGCGACCTGGTTCCTGGCTGTTTCAAGTCTATCCCCACCATCAGGGGCCCTGGTGAAGGGCAGCCTGGGACTTAGACTCCGTGCCCTTAGGGACTCCGGTCTGTGGGTGGTGGTTGTCATCAGTCAGTGAGTGACCCTGCCACTAGGCCTGCCTGTCCGTTCCACAGCTCCTGCCCTGACAAATAGGTCTTCAATGATGGGTTCAATTTGTCTATATAAATATAGCAATCAAATTATGTTGGGAATATATTATAGATTCTATATTCCTCACTCAGGGAAACCTGTGGATGTGGTTACACCAGAAAATTACATTTCCAAGAAATCTCAAGTCCAGATGTGCCACCTGAAACAAAGTGGGATCCTCAGAAGCATGTCAAAGAATTCCCCAGTGATTCACATGGGGACATGACATTTACAGGAACCACCAGGACCTGGGCCAAGGTACATGAAGCATTGTGAATATCTCTTTGAAGCTGAAAGCTTGTTGGGTGTTGAAGGACATTACTGTATGCAGTAGAAGCCTAGACTGCTGTTGACCATATTCCATCAGATTAATGGTTGGGTTTACACATATTGCTGTATAAGTTACTTTAAACTCTGCTTCTCAACAGTATGTGCGAGCATCCTCCGACACTCATCCCAGAATGTTGTTTGAACTGATGACGCAACTGTGGGAGCTTCGTGTACCAAGTCTTCTTATATCTGTGACAGGAGGAGCCAAAAACTTCAACATCAGTCCAAGGCTGAAGACCCAGTTCAGCCGGGGCCTTGTGAAGGCTGCAGAAAGCACAGGTAATGGGGCTTCTGCAATAAGCACATCATCCTTGTGCTTCCTTTGTCCTCACTTTTAATGCTTAACTGTAAAGAATTCTCAGGAGTGGTGGTAGAGCCTGGCTAGTGATATGAAGCAGATTAATAAGCTGGCAGACAGGCGGCTCTATAAGGGGAAGCCTGCGCTTTCCCTATGCAGCACAACCCTCGCGGGGGCCGCTTGTATGATATCCCGGTTTCCTTTTACTTTGCCCCGCCACCAAGCACAGTGTATTCCTTCAGATAAATACACATACTTTGACTCGTCTTCACTGATCAGTCTAGGGGATGTTTGTTTTTAGAGTTTTATTGTAGAACAGGGGGTAGGGATGGGGTAGTAGAATACTCCAAAATTAGAACTATTCACATTAAGGACATCTAGCTCTTAGTTGAGCACTTTTGAAATCTTAGCTGAAGCAGATAGTAGACTTTCCTTTACTTTGTAGCAAGATAGTTTGATAGTGAGCAATTCCCTTTTTGCAGTAGTAGTAGTTACAGGGATGAGCTCCTTAGGTATAAGCCAGTTACGTCAGACAGCGACAGCCCAAAGGTAATGTAGGTGAGCAAAGTCCTTTGCAGTAGCAACACTTGGACAAGCTCTTCAGAACACTAGCCAGTGTTCCCTTTTTCCAAACCCACGCTGACTATCAAACACCAGGGGAGGTAGCAAGCACACAGAGTCCCCAAATTCCTCAATGTCAGTACTCACAAGGCTCAAGGACAGAATGGTTGCCTCCTTCCAATCTTCCAAGTGAAACCCTCCAGAGATACCAGACAGAGCTTTGGAGGACAGCTCCCTTCAGTTAGCTTACTGAAGACCCAGGGTTACTCTCTAACTTCAGGCCCTCAGGTCGACCCACCTGAGGCCACATGCAAGCAAGCACCAAGCGAGGCATCCTGCCTCCATCCTGGCTGGTGCAATCCATTCCTAGGAAAGATACTGAACCCATGTGTTCTCTGAATATAAATACCACTCCCAGCAATCAGTGGGGCAACCCTCCCCTGCAATTGGCCATGGCTGTATCCATATTCATGCTGTGCTTTTGCCTAGCCCCTACCCATGTTCTGGAAGGCTCTCATAGCTTCCTGGAGGTGGGCAGGACTCAGACAAACTCCAAGAGCACCAGAGTAGCATGAGCAGACCTTACTCATCAATCACAGCACTGCAGAATACCATACAATTTACATGACAGCCTCTCTGGTAAGCAGAGAAACACAGCTATGCTTAACCTAACTATACATATCCTAGCACTTAACTAGAAAGGTGCTACACCTACTAGCCAGGTTCCTTGCCCTAACACTTTCCCTGCTCTCTTTATCAATCAGGACCTTGTCCATGACCTATTCTTACACCGTGGGCATGTCGACTATCACAGAAGGTTCTATTTTAGCACCTCTATGTCAAGATGAATGCCCAAATCTCACAGTAGTCCACTGGAAGACTTCCCCAGAATGGCTGCCTGAAGCCCATGAGAACAGACAGCTTTAGTTCCCTATGAGATTCTGCTACCTGAAGAAGTAACATAGTGCCATCTTCAGGTCAGCGGGACATGCCACAGCATCAACTTCCTGTGTAATTTTTAGAGAGCTTTGCATTCAGTTCTAAAAGGAAAGGGCTGGGAAGGGCTGGCTGGATCTAGCTTGCCTGATCTGGGGGTGCAGTAACAAAAAGTGAAGGGGCCCACTTTCAAAACTAAAAAAAATACATAATACTCCTATTGTAGCTCGAGTACAGAGCACTATGGCCAAAAGTATGTACGGTACAACAGTAAAAAGTATTTACTACACAGCACAGCATGCAATGTGCATACAGTATGTAATATACACCACATCATACTAAGTGCAACAGTCAATACCTCCTTCCTTAACCCCTTCACACTGGTGCCTCCCGGCCCTTTAAGGGTTTCTGACGTCAGCAAGAGGTGCGGGGTTTATTATCATGTGACCGCCATAATTGGCTGTCACAGCAGTCACATGATCAGAAAAGTCCCAATTGCAAGGAGAGATCGGAACCTTTCCATGGGATGCTGACACCTGTGCTGGGAGCGCGCAGGGTGTGCGCTCTCAGCACGTCTGTTTACAAATGGTACACAAATATGCGGCCGTTCAGCATCAAGGCCCAGCCGCTGAGAGCCTTCAAATTTGTGTACGCTTGGCGTGAAGAGGTTAATCAACAATCCTAAAAGTTATCATCCACTGCTCAACTCTGCATCCCTGTGAGCCCCCTAACCACAGTGTAACCCCCCCTCCCCCAGAGCTCACCTCTGCGTCCCTTGTGTACAGCTATCCTTTGATCACCCTATCTATAGATCTAATCTGTATCTCCTGTCTACAGCTCACCTCTGCATTTTGTGCCACAGCTCACCTTTGCATCCCTGTCCACAGCTCACCTTTGCTCGCCACCCACAGCACATCTTTGCATCCCTATCCACAGCTCACCTTTACATTGCCATCCACAGCTCACCTCTGCATCCATATCCACAGCTCACCTTGGCATCCCTGTCCACAGCTAACCTCTGCATTGCTGTCCACAGCTCACCTTGGCATCCCTGTCCACAGCTCACCTCTATGTCACCATCCACAGCTTACCTTTGCATTGCCATCCACAGCTCACCTTTGCTTCCACTTCCATAGCTCGCCTTTGCATCCCCTTCCACAGCTCGCCTTTGTGTCCCCTTCCACAGGTCACCTTTGCATTGCCATCCACAGCTCGCTTTTGCGTCCCCTATCCACAGCTCACCTTTGCATTGCAATCCACAGCTCACCTTTGCATTCCTATCCACAGCTTACCTTTGCTCGCCATCCACAGCTCACCTTTGAGTCCCTATCCACCACAGCTCACCTTTGAGTCCCTATCCACCACAGCTTTCCTTTGAGTTCCTATCCACAGCTCACCTTTACATTGCCATTCATAGCTCACCTTTACATTGCCATCTACAGCTCACCTTTGCATTGCCATCCACAGCTCACCTTTGCATTCCTGTCCACAGCTCGCATTTGCATCGCCGTCCACAGTTCACCTTTGCGTCCTCATCTACAGTCCACCATTGCATTGCATTCCACAGCTCGCCTTTGCTTCCCCTTCCACATATCACCTTTGCATCACCATCCACAGCTCACCTTTGCAACCCTTTCCACAGCTCACCTTTGCGTGCCCTGTCTACAGCTCACCTTTGCTTTGCCATCCACAGCTCATTTTGCACTGCCATACACAGCTCACCTTTGCGTTGTCGTCCACAGCTCACCTTTGTGTCCCCATCTATAGCTCCTCTTAATGCCGCCATACACAGCTCACCTTTGCTTTGCCATCCACAGCTCATTTTGCGCTGCCATACACAACTCACCTTTGCGTTGTCGTCCACAGCTCACCTTTGTGTCCCCATCTATAGCTCCTCTTAATGCCGCCGTGCACAGCTTACCTTTGCATTTCCTTCCACAGATCACATTTGCATGCCTTCCCACAGCTCATGTGCTGCCATCTACAGCTCCCCTTTGCGTCGCCATACACAGCTCACCTTTGCGTTGTCATCCACATCTCACCTTTGGGTCCCCATCCATAGCACTTCTTTGTGCTGCCGTGCACAGCTCACCTTTGCGTTCCCTTCCACAGCTCACATTTGCATGCCTGTCCACAGCTCACATTTGCGCTGCCATCCACAGCTCACCTTTGCGTCCCCATCCACAGCTCACCTTTGGATCCCCGACCACAGCTCACCTTTGTGTCCCTTTCCACAGCTAAACTTTGCTTCACCATCCACAGCTCACCTTTGGATCCCCAACCACAGCTCACCTTTGCGTCCCCGTCCACAGCTCATCTTTGCATGCCTGTCCACAGCTCAATTTTGCATTGCCGTCAACAGCTCACTTTTTGCATCACCTTCCACAGCTCACCTTTGTGTCCCAGTCCACAGCTCACATTTGCTTCCCTCTCCACAGCTCACATTTGCATGCCTGTCCGCAGCTCACATTTGCGCTGCATCCCACAGCTCACCTTTGCGTTCCCATCCACAGCTCACGTTTGCGTCCCTGTCCACAGCTCACATTTGCTTAGGCACTCACAGCTCACCTTTGCTTAACCACTCACAGCTCACCTTTGCATTCCTGTCCACAGCTCACCTTTTGCTTCACCTTCCACAGCTCACCTTTGTGTTTCAGTCCACAACTCACATTTGCTTCCCTTTCCACAGCTCACATTTGCACTTCCGTCCACAGCTCATCTTTGTGTTCCTATCCACAGCTCACCTTTACGTCCCCGTCCACAGCTCACATTTGCATCCCCGTTCACAGCCACAGCTCACCTTTGCGTCCCCGTTCACAGCTCACCTTTGCGTCCCCGTCCACAGCTCACCTTTGCATCCCCGTTCACAGCCACAGCTCACCTTTGCATCCCCGTCCACAGCTCACCTTTGCATCCCCGTCCACAGCTCACCTTTGCTTTCCTGTCTACATCTTACTTCTATATAGAAAATATGTTTTGACGCAGAGAGAAGACAATTGCTCAGTGGTATGACAATAAAGTTATAACAGAACATCAATCAGTATTGCACCACTGAAGTCTGGGGGGCACATCTCACCCCAGCACCCCCCTAGATCTGGCCATGCTGTCATATCTGCTAAAAAGCTCCATAGATTTGACAGCTCTTACGTAACGGACCCTTTCCCCTGCAATAGATCAAACCCCTTTTCTTTAATGTAAGGGCTACCTTTGTGCCTTTTGAAGTGCCCTTTAAAGTAGAAGAGTTTTTGATGAATATGTGTTTACTGGCCATTAATACATTCATTCAAGGGGATTATAATAACTCTCCATTGTCTCTTATGAATATAAATACACACGTTTTATAAATACATGCATGTGAGTAGCTTTAAAAGCTGCATATTAGTATTGAATTCTGGTATTAAGTCTTCACCGTATCCTTCTATGTTTTTTTTTTTCCTTCACAACCTTGAGGTCAATATACAGTCTATTACAGGCAGGAAGGGG